TTTACTTTTATTTATTCGGTACCACTTCTGTGTCTGTTTGTTGCCCTGTGGTGGCTTCTTTGTTGCTGTGCTGCGGGAAGCCGTGTCACTGGTGTTTCAACTGTCAGCAGGGCCACTCAAAGGGAACAAGCTTCAGTGGAGCTTCCAGCCTTAAGAACAGCTAAAAAGAAGAAAAATGTTGCCAACTTGGAGGAAGTTGCCACTGAAGACCTAGGTGCAGCGTGGCAGCTGCCGGATATGGTGGACGATGGGGCCCTGGGGTTAGAAGTCCCTCAAAATGTGACTGAGGATGAGCTGTTTTCTCAAGCAGAGGTGATTATGGTGACATGAATGGAGTAAAGCTTGTGGGAGCAAAGCCTTCAGAATCTTCATTTGCTGATGGGGCTCACCTTACAGGTATTATTCAAATTCATGCACCTCCCATGAAGGCTAGTGATGAATAAATTGAATTTTAGACTATCAAGAAGGAGAAGTAGACAGTGATTACATGCAGTCAAAACATGAAGAGGTTATTGAATTCTACCAAAGCCTTCAATCTAAAATTGATCAAACAGACAACCAGGTTGCATTGGTTATTAGCGATTGGAGTGCAAACATTGGAAACAGAGAGGAAGGAGTGTTGGAAAATATGGTCTCGGTGGTAGAAACCAAGTAGCTGGAGATAGCATGGTAGAATTTTGCAAGATACATGACTTGTTCATAGCAAATACCTTCTTCATCAATATAAATGGTGATTATACTGATGGGCTTCTCCAGATGAATACACGGGAATCAAATTGACTACATCTCTGGGAATAGCAGATGGAGAAACTCAATATCAGCAGCTAAACCAAGGCTTAGGCTGACTGTGGAATAGACCACCAATCACTCATACTTAAGTTCGGGTTAAAGCTGACGAAAGCTAAAACAAGCCCTCAAGAGCCAAAATACAACTATGAGTCTGTCCCACCAGAGTTTCGAGAACAGATCTGAGGCATTCACCACGGATAGCAAAGATCTGATGAGCTGTTTGAAGACATCAACAATGTCTTATGTTGACCTCCCAGGGTCGCATCTGGGGAATAGCTAGTATTCTGCCAGCTTCGGAGATGGGAGGGGAAACAAGCCTGTCAGAGACCCATTCCATTCTAGTTTGCTCAGTAGCTGGTGATTGGAAAATAACTCTGCGACAGTGTTCAGGTCCTGGGCAGGGAGGCCTCCTTCCAGGACTCACCTGACCCAGGTCTGCCTCTTTCTTGAAGGCATCATGGCTGCCCTCAGACCCTTGGTGAAGCCTAAAATTGCCCAAAAGAAGACCAAGAAGTTCATCCAGCACCAATCCAACTACTATGTCAAGATTAAGCGCAACTGGTGCAAGCCCAGAGGCATTGACAACAGGGTGCGGAGAAGATTCAAGGGCCAGATCTTGATGATGCCCAACATTGGTTACGGGAGCAATAAGAAAACCACGCACATGCTGCCCAGTGGCTTTCACAAGGTCCTGGTCCACAACGTCAAGGAGCTGGAAGTGCTGCTGATGTGCAACAAGTCTTACTGTGCAGAGATTGTTCACGTTTCCTCCAAGAATCGCAAAGCCATTGTATAAAGAGCAGCCTAACTGGCCATCAGAGTTACCAA